GTAAGAATAGCTGAAAAATCTTTTCTGCTTGATAAATTAAATCAAACAGAGAAACAAATTTTAAAAAAAAATTGAAATTTATTCAAAAAAACTGATGTATTGTAAACAACTTGTAAATATAATTAAGAGTAGAAAACATTTAATTGAAGAGAATTTTAAGAAGCAAACTGAAGAAAAACAACTTATGGAACTTATTTGAACTTATTTATTATATACTTGTTCTTATTATCATTATTATTTTTAATTATTTAGTCTTATTTATATTATAATGTAGGTAATTATCAATTTTTAATTTTAGGTTTAACTTTAAAAATAAATGTATTATTTAATTTACCTACCTTACACTTGTGTTTTAATATTCAATTATATCCTCAACCACGCTGCTATAAAAAAAAAAATTCACCAAACAATTTTTGTTAACATATTTTCTTTTAAAAACTACAATTATATCAAAACAGCAGCTTCCACAAGTGAAATCACCGAGCCACAACAGGTTAAAATAATTATAACTGTCTGTATGGAAACTCATTGTTTTCACGAGTCAAGGGAATTACTGTTCTACTGGATATTTTATTTTTAATTCAATTTCTTGATTGTTGGTATCAACCTTTATTATAATTGGTTTATGCTGCTTTCTGCAAAGCACCGTGAGATATTACTTTTTGAAATTAATATTTCGCGCTACTTTATGACGCACAAGGTGCGCACCCCTAGCGGAGAACGGAGCGTCTTAAGTCAAAGGGTGAGTGCATTTTTTGTAGCTTTCTGTGTCCGACATCTTTTACTCTATTTAATTTAATAGTACTGCAATCAGCAAAATTGTTAAATGTAATAAGTTACGGTCCTTCGTATTTTCACCAAAGTCTCGTGGCGACATTTTTGGCCCTATCGATGCCGGATAGGTGCTGGCGATCTTTCATAAAAATTTGCAGCATTTTTTAAATTTAAATTTGCAAATCAATAGCCATTTTTATTTATTTTTTTTAGTGTAAAAATAGTTAAAATATCTAATATTTCAAGAATTGTCAGAACACAGCTGATCCGACTGATCGATCGATCACTATCGACATAAAGTCTATCGATAAACTACTCTTTCGAGTAATAAATAAGTAAAGTGATTCTACCGAACTAGTCTTGATCAGCTCGACTAGAATACTTAGACACCCTCTACGAGAAGTTCCAATAGCTTCAAAACAGCATAATGTCTTTGATTTCGGATCGCGATTTTGATTCACATGACCCAGCAGAGCCCCCGCGGACCAATATGTATATGGCATTCGTGCAAAAAGAAACGAACTTGTTTTGACCCCTTCGTGGTCTCCTAGGTTAAACCATCAACAGCCGTCGTCTAATGTAAACAGACCTAGTCTAAAGTTGGACATTTCTATTCCCACATTTGACGGGAATTTGAAAATGTGGCCCACTTTCTTTGAACTTTATAATAGTCTTATTCATGGCAATCCAGACGTGCCAATTGTTGCCAAATTTGCCAAAATTTCGATACTTGCATATGACATGTTGGTTGAAAGATAATCAAAAAGCGCAAATTAGCTGCTTCTTATTTCAATACTATATATGAGGCTCCCTCTATTAGGAATTCAAATTCAAAGGATTTAAGACATCTTGTGGATAACTTTTGTGAAAATTTAGCAGCCCTCAAAGCTCTAAAATTTAAAGTTGAAGACTGGAACTTTTTAACTTTCAATATTCTTTATAGGAAACTTGATAACAAAACCCGTCAAGATTTTGAACAAGAGCACGTTAAAATTGACATGCCCACATACGAGCATCCTAAAACATTTCTGTCCAATAAGTGCAAGGCTCTAGAAACGGTTCAAGACATAGTGCCCTATGCTTCTCCTAAGCCTACAAGTCAGGACAAGTTTAAAGACTACAATTTCCCTGGGTCATATTCAAAACGGAGTACACCTGGTGCTTATAAAGTTAACATTGGTGACTCCAATCATCAAGCTTACAAGCAAAAATGCATTATATGGGTTATTTAGATGTCACTTGTTTCTGTCAAAGTTTCCCCAGGAACGAATAAATTTTGTAGAACTACACAACCTTTGTTGTAATTGCTTACGAGCACACCAAAATAAAATTTGCTCTATGTCAATGACATCCACATTGACAAGCATTCCACAACATACCAACCCAGAGCTGCGCCTCCAGCTGCTGCTAATCAACAATATTCAGCGACAAGCTTTAATACGAGTACAAGTCAGCAGAAACCTGCTACTCTGTCTTATTCAATGTCAGCTAGTGATCCTTCAAGTTCTAATGCTTCGAATCCAACCCCTCAGGTGCATACTTGTTCTTCCTACAATTCTAACTACACTTGTCTATGGCCTACCGCAGAGGTACATGTAAAAGGCGGTCATGGGTATTTCCAATCCATACGTGTTCTTTTTGATTCAGCGAGCATGGTTACATTGATTTCTGAACCTTGTGTAAATCGGTTGGGTTTGAAAAGACAACATTGGTCAATTCCCATTCAGGGTGTTAACGGTTGCACTTCCGCTGCAAGGGGCATTACCCATTACGTGATCAAACCTTCGAATAAACCTGAGCCTACATTTTCATTTGAAGCGATAGTTTTGCCTTCAGTGAGTGCAAATCACCCTCGAACTTCAGTGGATATCTCCAGTTTGTCCTACATTAAAAGCCTACCACTAGCTGCTGCACACACCTGGTGCCATAGACTTTTTGCTCAGTGCAGATTTGGTACCATATATGCTCGGTGCAGGGCGTGTCTTTGGTAATCATAACCAACCAGTTGCGTTGGATTCTACTAGACCGGATATCAACCTCTAGCTCAGATTACTTCCTTCTTAGTTGTCATGTTTCGCTCGAGTCCCAGGTGAACACAATTCTGCAGAAATTTTGGGAAATTGAGCAAACCCCTAAAGTATGCAATACTCTGTCTCCCGATGAGGTGAAGTGTGAGAAAATCTATAAGAAGACAATATCTCGTAAACCATCAGGAAGGTTTGTTGTATCTCTCGCATTTAAGCATCACAATCCTGATTCTGGGGGGGGGGGGGGGGGGGGAACACACTCGCAAGCACTTCGACGTCACCTATTTAGTCACGTCTTTACAAAAACCCAGATCTTCATCTCGCTTACTCTAATTTTATCAAAGAACATCTGGATCAGAACTTCATTTTTGAAGTACCTCGATCAGATTATCGTTCACAGTCATCATACTACTTGCCACATCACTGTGTTGTAAAACCAGATAGTGTATCTACCAAAATCAGGGTAGTTTTCGATGCGAGGCTTGTGGGTCAAAAGGTCTAAGTCTTAACCAGACTCTTCCCAGGCCCGAAGCTACATCAAGACTTATCCACAATTCTTCTAAAATTCAGAACTTATTCCATTTGTTTTTATAGCAGACATTCGTACAATCATATCATTGTCACTCCCGAGCACAGAAATTATCAGCGTTTTCTCTGGCGGTTTTCTAGCACAGAAGAAATTATAGAGTACACTCTTGAATGGGTAACATTTGGTGTTTCTTCGGCGCCCCATTTAGCCCTAAGAACAATCAAAGAATTAGCAACAATTGAACAGGATGATCATCTTCGTGCGTCAAGGGTACTTTAAGAATCTGTCTATGTGGACGACTGTGTCAGTGGCGCCGAATCAGTTGACTCAGCGTTACAACTAGCTTCTCTCAAGAACGGCTGTTTTCAATTATGCAAGTGGGCGAGCAATCATCCTGCCCTCTTATCTGCTCTGGGAACTTGGAATCCCATACGCAAATTAGTTTCGATACAGAGGGTCCGAGTGATGTCAAGGTACTTCGTCTTCAATGGAACACCACACTTGATTGCTTCAGTTATTTTTGTATTCTGATTGACGCTAGTTGCACAAAAAGGAACGTTTTTAGTCAAATTGCTAGGATTTTTGATGTTCAGGGATATTTCGCTCCAATGGTACTGCTTGCCAAGCATATCTTGCAACAGATTTTTCTTTCAAAGCGAGATTGGGATGAAATCGCTCCGGACGCTATAGTTGCTGTTTGGGAACGCTTTAAACAGGAACTTCCTGAAACTTCCAAAATTCAGCTTCCACGCAAAGTTTGATTTCACTATTCTTTCACCTTCTGAAAAACACAATGCATAAATGATCATAGTCAAAGCGGTTCAAACATAATGTTTCTCTGAGAAAATGCGAATCTGTCAGAAAAATGATTCCCTTCAGAAAATTAGCACCCTTTATTGATGAGGTAAGTGTCTTGCGGGTGGGAAAGGTTGCGAAAGTCCTTCCTTTCCTTTGATGCGAAACACCCTAAATTATTGTTTCAAAAGCACAGGTTCACAGAACTTATCATAGAGCAGTATCATGGGGACAATTTTCATCCTGGCTTAAAAACATTACACAATTTAATCATTCAAACCTTTTGGATTCCCTCCCTTCGCAGCGCTATTTATCGCTGCCTCTCTACATGCATAAAATGTTTTCGTTCCAGGCCTCAATCTTATGCACTTTTATTGGCCGATTTGTCAAACTTTCGCATATCGCAACTTAAAGCATTTTCCCAAGTGTCTCTGGACTATTGTGGTCCTTTCAAAATTTTGCCTAACCCAAGTAGCAAGCCCCAATTTGAAGAGGCCTAGCCCAAGTGACGTCAGCAAAGGGGTAAGTTATAGGGGGCGGCATGTGTTTTGCATTATCCGTCAAACGTCACCTGTCATTATTGACAGCTCGCCAATTTTCGAAGGCTCTTCCAAAATTTGAGACGTCTTTTTCTGACGGAACGTTTTGAAATGTTTTGAAACGGTACATTTTAGTGTTGCAACGGTGACGTCATATACAGAAACGGTTCAACCAGGTTCGAACCGCTCTTTCAGCCTGTTTTGAAATAGAGGTTAAACAGCTGATCTTAAAATCCACCAATCGGCGAAAATATAACCCCCAAATACTTAATTTATTTTTGTTTTTGGTGTGCTTTCTGTTTTGTGGCTTTTTTGTTTGAATTTAAATTATTAACGATGAATGAAGATCTGGAAATGGTAGACTTTCATCTGGGAAATTTTGTAATCAATATTGATTCCAAAATGGCAAGAAACTTATGTGAAGGTTAATACTTTTTTATAAATATTAATGTATTATAATATTTTGTTGCTTCTGCGTGTTTGAATAATCATTACTGATAACTCTTTTATTTGTAGATCCCGAACTGGCTCGAAGATATATTGATGAACTACGTAGACAGTGTCCAGAAGCTGAGGCTGGCACTTCGACTTCAACCAGCTCAGTGTTGGTGCCAAGTGTAGCAGCAGCTAGTCAGCCTGTGCATAATCAAAAAAGTGAGCAAAAAGTATGGACCACATCAAAAGGTCAAACACCAAGGGATTTGCAAGCCACAGCATTCTTTCTGTGTCTCCGTAAGGACCTGGACAAAAAATTTAAAGACAAAAAAACTGCTAACACAACTCTTTGGCAGGAAGTTGCTGAAAAAATGAATCGTAATGGGTATTTTGTGGGTTATGGCTCAGATGGTAGAGAAAGGTGTAGGCAGAAGTTTGCAAATCTCCAGCAAACATATCTGAAATACATTGACCGAAGACGGCAGACTGGAGAAGGTAACTTTTTAAAATCACTACAAAATCTTGTATTCACCTAAGCTTTTTTCATTATAATTCTATATTCTATTCAATCTATTATAGCATATAGGGCGGCCCTGTACCTTATGGTAAAAATCATAGAAAACTTTAGAATTGAGAGTTGAAATAACAAACTTGATTGGGTCGTTGTTGAATCTAGAGTTAATTTTTTTATTAGGTATAATGGGCAAATGCAAATAATGTTTTGTTACCAAGGTACAGGGTGTGAAGTTTTTTTTTTAAATTTTAATGTAAAGCATGATTATGCCTTCAGATGAATTTTCTGGTTTATTTTTAAAATGGGCAATTTGTAGAAAAGGTAAGGCTTTAAAGAATGTGTCACCCTCGGTATCACCCATAGATGCTGAAAAATATTGCATTGCTCTAAATAATGTGTTTTCGATATTTGGGTTGTATTAAATGTACTAAATTTCAGTCAATAATTTTAAAAATTGTTAGTAATTGCGTGTGCTCCAGTAACACAGCATTTTTGGACCGGTTTCTATGAATTTTGTCCTCGTTTCAAGCAGAGTTTGAGCGGTCTATTAATGAATCACGTCATATACTTTTTTGTATAGTATACAGTACTCGTTTTGATTGAAAGTTTGTAGTAGCATTGACAACATGAACCACTCATTAATGTGTGGAAAATAAAAATAAAATAAAAATTTAAAATTATTGTAGACTTAGATTCCACTTTGATCATTTTCCCAATTTATTTTTCAGGAAAAATAGAAAAGCCACCTTTTTTCGATGAAGCGGGCTTAATTTTGGGGAAATCAGATAAAACCGATCCAGTATTGATATTGCATAGCATACCTTTGTCATTACCGAATGAAACAAGTTGAAGTAGTCAGGAACCAAATAGTGAATCAATTTCATCTAAGCAAAATGTTACCCTAGAGGATAGTAGTGAGCTTAGCAACAAGTTTATAAACGCTAAGAAAACTTTAAAACCAAAAAAAATGACTTTTATGAAAAGTATTATGATCTGTCTGAAAAGTCAGAAGAACGCAAGCAGCAGTTCCAAGATTTAGTACAAATGAAGGATGAAGCACAGAAAAGACATGAAGAAATAGCGATAGACGCGATTTCGCAATGCAAAAAATTGTCATATTTGCGAAAAACCATTCAAAGTCGAAGACAAAATAATGAGGGATCACTGCCACCTCACTGGGAATTATCGAACTTCATCCCATTCCGTTTGTAATATTAATTTTAAGGCCCCAAGCTTTACCCCCATCTCCTTTCACTGTATGTCTAATCTTGATTCCCATCTGTTAGTTAAGGAATTGCTCAAGAAAACGAGATAATTGATGTTATCCCCCAAAATAAGGAACGGTACATTTCATTTACCGTTTTTAACCTAATTATTTAAATAGGTATAGTTTTTAAGTTGCCCAATATGTACCTACTATTTCCCTCTCTATATTTCAACTATACATAAAATTCAAAAAAACTGAAAAAAAAATTTGGACTGTTTTATTTTTCAAAATATAATTAGGTAGCCGCCAGAGATATTCGCGATTCGTGCAAAAAAAGTAAGTTCCTTTATCAGCCGGCCTGCATTTAGTCAGGAGGCCTGGGTCAGGGGCCTTATTCTGTATTTATTTTTTGTAGACCGAATCTCTCGGTTCGGTACACTATCGAACGGCGCAGTAATCGAACAATCGGTTCGATAGCGTACTTTGCAATTCAGTATGGCTTTTCGGGAACCATTCCGTTCGGTTTGATAGGAATCGAAAGGTAGCCGGAAAAATTACCGAACGCCATGCAATATTGTCGGATTGCTATGCTCCCAACCAATCAGACTGCGTATATTCGTGATTGACAGCCGATAAAATGATAGTTGACAGGGTATTTTTTAATTTTGGTTGACAGTTAAATGAAAGTTTGTGTTGTTTACGTTTAGTTTTCAATTTTCTTCTGCTTTTTGACGGGTTCCGCCAGTATAGCCAAAGCTAAGAGAAGAGCGTGCTACTCTTGACTATATACAGACGCATCTGCTGCTACACAAGATGGATTGTTTTAGTAGATCAAGAACGTTCGGAGGTACGATACAATACTCCCCAGGCGGATCTCCGAGGGTTTCTGCTCATCGGCTCAAAAAAAATCGTTAAACATTGCAGCATGGAACATGCGGACTCGGATTCTGCAAAATACTGACACTTCAATTCACGCGGAGAGAAGAACGACCATGAACTAAATCATCCCAATATTGACATTGCTGCGATGAGGGAGACAAAATTCCTGGATGAAAACACTGAAAACAGTCCTAAGACTCGAGGATTTTCACTGGAAGAGAAATCTCCGAGGAGCCTCATGATAATCCTGTTATTACTCGTCTTATCTGTTTCCTTTTGTGCCTGAAAATATAAAATTAATATTGAAAAAACTGATTGAACATCCAAACACGCGTCACCATAACGTCAAAAACCTTCACCGAAATTCAAATCGAAACCCACAGTGCTATCGGTCAGCGAATCGAGGCTTCGATTGAGTTACCGATCGGTTTGATGCTACGGAATAGCTTCCGCGCTATCAAACCGAAAATGACGTCACAATCGAAGAAATTCTACCGAATCGAACGGTTCGTTCTTTACAGAATAGGCTTCCAGGTAACCGCCCTAAGTACAAGATTATATTGGTTTGAAATTATTCGATTTTAAATTGTTGTGAGTAATGTTTGGAATCATTTTTCAATTTTCTTAGAAGATCTTCCAAATATATAATGCAAAAATTAATTAATTATTTCAGAACAATAAAATAATACTATTCGCAAAATTAATTTAATTGATGATCTTCGGCTAAATTGATTCTCAACTCTCATCTGTGGATTTTTTTGCCTCGGTTTCTACAATAACCTACCTACTGTCATTAGGGACTAATTAATATATTTTTCAGTTCAATATTTTTGATTAAGAATCATAATACATAAGGCTTGTTATTACTAAATAGCAAAAAATAGATTTTTTTATTGATAAGATTTTACTTGCTTCCCACCCGGACTTATCGCAAGAGTTTTTGGTATATAAATAATATTTACCTAGTATTTTTATTATTTAAGAATGGAATTTAAAAGGCAATTATTTCGGTTATAATTAGATGTTGTTATTGAAATTCTAGAAAATTCAAGAAAATTATAACCTAGTAGGTATTCCAAACAGCGACGATTCAAAGTTGCGGTGAGGAATTCATATAGTTGATATCAAATTTTGCTAATGATTATACTGAGAAAAATGACAGCTTCAATTTCCTCATAAATATTTTTTAATTTTGTTCCAGATACCTTGGATGGTATTGACGTTGAAGAAAACCCCGAAGACAACATCAAATCAGTTTTTCCCCTAGTAGGCTACCCCGCTAACAGTCACCTATCAGTGTCCACTTCATCCCAGCTCATCAAGGCCAGCGAGCTAATGGAAGGTTTTGAATCATCCAACTAAAATCCAGCACTTGTGTGTACAGATCTTTATGAAGTGCTTCATCTTCTTCATATTAATTTTTAAGCAATATCATTCTTATCAATCCAGCTATTAAATGACTTATTGAACCCCAACCATCTAACGTACATTTTATTTTCTTTCTCACGTTATGCCTGTTCTTCCAGAAATTCATTTGGTAGTTTTCTTTTTTGCAATTTTTTTTTAAAAAAACCACCTCGAACAGACTGACATTGTGAGTCTTCCAGCAAAAAGGTTGGTGGATTTGTAATATGCACTTTAACTATTTTTACCTACGAGCGTGCGGAAAGTGCACTTCACCAATGATTTTTTTTCTTTGAAGTGCCCGCTGCCACTGGAAGGTTATGGTTGAGACGCCTCTGCCTTGTTTTACTATACGAAAGTGATTAGCAAAGTTAACAAAATTTTGGTGAGTATTAATTATTTATTGAGTATTTCGTTCATTAACCTGAATTTGTCATCATGAGTAGTGAGTGATTTTTTTCTGCACCCTTAATACGCAATTGTATATATATTTTTTCTTTTCCAGAAGTAATAATCAAAAAAAGTATCATTAGGCGGTGGATCTTCATTGATCTCTCCATAAGGGCGAGTTTTTTTTTTCCTTATCCTCTTTCTTGTCCTCAATCTACGCTACCGATTAGAAAACTAATAATTAAATGTGATAATTAAAATGCACGCCACTGTATAATAAATTAAAGTTGAACTGCAAAAACAACGATAAAACTAAATAATAAAATCACAAGCACCAAGCGGAAGTTTGCGGTTTCCAATACTGCAGAGTTAATAATTGAACGCTAATTTTTATCACATTTCCTAAACCTAAAGTTTCCGTTAAAGATAATTAACTTATTTTCCCCATAAACCCCAGAGGATGTTTTTTGAAAGTTGTTCATTATTTGCTAGCCTTTCGTCCCGTGCACTGCTTTTTCAACTCGCGATTTTTCTTTTCTTCAACCAACACACACCTTATTTTCGCGCCCTGATTTAATTTCGGATGCTTTCACAAGGAGTGTCTATTGTGTGCGTCGCTGAACTCGTGATTTGTCGATTCCCAAGTGCCCTAATTTTTTTCGCTTCGATTCAAATTCGGGTGTTTTTGTGAGTGTCCTCCTCCTCCTCCTCCTATTTGACACAGTAAGTTTTTCTCCGATTTTTACATATTCTCGCAAGTCTTTTTTCTATTTTTCACCTCAGTATTTGTGCAATATTCGTTCTTGAAGAAAGATTTTTTCATCATGCTAAATCGCTGTGATTATTGTTCACGACTTTTTAAATTTATATTTTTCCCTGATTCTCATGATTGTTGCGGATTTGGTTATGTGTATAACGACGATCTTGTTACAACAATTTCATATTTAAAAATCGAATTTCCTACTGATTTTTATTTTTTCTTAGTGGAAAGAATCAATAAACTAAAATGTCCACGAACTTTGTTTATACCACCAAATCGAGAACGGTATGCACAACTCTTTTTTCTGTACATATGTAAAAACTGTATAATTCTTCTTGAACAGATGCAAATTCCCCAAACTTAAACCAGGTGGGAAAATTAAGGTTTATTAAACATAGGATGTTGGCTTCTCCTTTTATTCGGATTATTTACCAAATGCACACACTCGCAGAATTTTTTTTTCTTCTAGCAGAAAAATTGTGAAAATGTGGAACTTGTCTTTTATTGCTGATTCAGTTAGAGCACTGAAAAAATAATCGGTATAGCTCTAAGGCAGGTACTACAGTCTTGTTTTGTAATATCATCTAGGTGAATTTTATTGAAGCCATATTCTTGTGATAAAAAAACGTTTCACTCACTACTTATAGAATAGATTTTTAATTAGAATTTAGAAGAAAAATTTTCTTTTTTTTAATTTACCTTCTAAAGCGCTGACCGCAGGAAAAGTATGCCTTATATAGTAAAAAAATGGGACCGTGATTTCTAATATCACACAAGTTTAAACCTCCAAATCATCCACCTGTACTTATAAATAGCGACATGTTGTGGAATTATGGAATCGAAACTAAATAAATAATTCTTAAATACAAATTAAATAAAAGGAATTCTCTAAAAATCATAAAAATTCCAAAATATCTTTGTGAACTAAATTTATAATCAATCCCGATCTGATTCGACTATTGAAGGCAGTCCGGACATCCTCCCATTTAATTCTTTTAAGCAATGCAGCACAATCAACCAAGAATGCTTTTGGCTCTTTATGTTTCAAATTGGAAATGACTCCAGTCCTTATTCTGCTGTTGAAAGCGGAAGCTGAATCATCCCAATGCACGCTCCTATCTGCTTGTTCGGGACGTGATGAAATACCCTCGCCCTTCTTCAGCATAACCTTAAACTGTATCCTCAGACTTTTCACATTTCGGAGAGAAGCTTCCAAGTCGACAACTACTTAGGATTGAATCCTAGCTACATAACTAACGTCTTTCAAAAACACAATCTTGACACGGATTCGTCTTATATAATAAATATAATAAATCTATAATAACTATACGCTGAGAGTGGGTTTGATCCGAGGGATTTTTTTCCTTCTTTTCCTCCAGATCTACACCATCGCTCAACAGTTAGAATTTCGTATTGAACGACTTGACCTCAAAACGTTTCACTCACTACTTATAGAATAGATTTTTAATTAGAATTTAGAATAAAAATTTTCTTTTTTTTTGATTTTTGCCTTCTAAAGCGCTGACCGCAAGAAAAGTATGCCTTATATAGTAAAAAAATGGGACCGTTATTTCTAATATCACACAAGTTTAAACCTCCAAATCATCCACCTGTACAATTACTTATAAATAGCGAAATGTTGTGGAATTATGGAATCGAAACTAAATAAATAATTCTAAAATACAAATTAAATAAAAGGAATTCTCTAAAAATGATAAAAATTCCAAAATATCTTTGTATATATATTTGTAAAATCACAATATATATTAGCTATCTAAAACTGTTATGCTGTTTCCCTGTTACTCCTCCCTTCCCGTTCTGCTTTTCAGGGTGAATAGTCGAGCTATATATTGAAGTTGAGACGCTTCGTCACATTTGGTGGAGGTGCCGGGCACCGATCCCGGTACCTCTCTGCCTTGTTTCACAATTTTGGGAGTAATTAGCAGTGTCTGCAATATTTTGGCCGTAATTAGCAGTGTTTGCAATGTTTTGGTAAGTATTAATTGTTTTAATAAATTTGTCCATTGCCCTGATTTTTGTCACGATGCGAAGTGACTAATTTTCTACACCTTTCCTTCACAATAATACATAATGTCTGTTTTTTAGGATCTTTTATCAGAAGACGTGTCATCAGGAGGTGGGTCACCCTCGATCCATCGCTTAGGGTGAGTTTCTTCTTTCTTTTTTTCTATAATGTTTCTGTACCAATTTGTTTCCATGTTTCGTAGGATTACCGGTTCATCGTGCTGTTCATTCACGAGCAAGGAAACTAGCCCCCAAGTGTGCCGCCTGGCCACACTTCAATCCTGGATGGTGCCGTGGATGGTACCATATGCTTTGTAACCGGTGTAGCCCGGCTTCGGCGGTCACTAATATACAAGGTGTCCGGGAATGAATTTCCCTTTTTAAAGTCGAATAACTTGTCAGCAGTGTGAACTAGCGTCGGTCGATAGAGGATCGATGTGGATTAATTAGTAACGATGGAGCGTTGGTCAGGTGTGCATCGTGCGTTCATGATTGAGGCATACTTCAAGAGTAACGACTCGTATACAATTGCAAAGCGAAGGTTTTGTGCTAATTTCAATATCAGGCGTGTAGAGGATGCACCAAGTAAAAACTTGGTGAAATCGTGGGTGAGGAGGTTTAGAGCAACATCGTCAGCTATAAATGTAAAACCTCGTGGTCGCCCAAGGACTGCAACTGCGCCTGAGAATGTTGAAACTGTACGTGCCGCGGTAATTCAAAATCCAAGTGGATCTGCTCGTAAAACATCACAAGTTGTGCGAATGCGCAAATCATCTTTCCACACAATTTTAAGGAGATATTTGAAGTTTCATCCATACGAGATCCAAATAGTGCAAGAATTCAACCCAAATGACTTTAGAAACCGTCGTTCTTTCGCCGAAACAATGATAGACCATTTTTTTGCAAAACGATCGCATGAACAATATTCTGTTCAGTGACGAGGCACACTTTCACCTTTCAGGCGCAGTTAATAAGCAAAATTGTCGCTATTGGGCACCCAATGCGAAAACACTAAAGGCCCCTACATAGCCCAAAAGTAACTGCGTGGTGTGCGATGTCGGCTTCAGGCATTATCGGTCCGTACTTTTTTGAGGATCGACGCGGCGTTACCCAGACTGTAACTAGTGATCGTTATTGTGCTATGCTTCAGGACTTTTTGGTACCTCAGCTGCAAGAATTCGATGGCTTTCATCAGGATACATGGTTTCAGCAAGATGGGGCCACCGCACATAGGGCCGGGGCGTCTATGCGGGTCGTTCGACGGTTATTCCCCGACAAAGTCATTTCTCGCTTTGGAGACATAAACTGGCCAGCTAGGTCTTCTGTGGGATACCTTAAAAGTAAAGTTTATGTTAATAGACCTAACACTTTGCAAGAATTGAAACAAAAAATACGGGAAGAAATTAATGGTATTCCACCTGAGATGTGTTTGGCAGTTTTTAACCACATGAAGACGGCTTTGCAAGAGTGTTTTGACTGAAATGGAAGACACCTCGACAATATAATTTTTAAAACATAAAATCCGCTTATATTGTTTATATCTTTGCATTAATAAATTAATTTTAAAAGTTCAAGAATTTTTTTTATTAGCCTTTAAAAAGGAAAATCTATTCCTGGACACCTGGTATATATAACCCTCGAAAGAGTGCAACATTGTTTATAGTTTTAAACATTTAAAACTCGATTGTAAATCTCTCTGAAACCACCGAGAAAGTGGGTAATAAATTTTAAAAAGGTATTGCAGAAAAAAACAGTACTTTAACGTAAATGGGTTAAGGGGTAT